ATTCCGAACAGAGGATATTGACATCTGAAAACGCTTTGCTATCTTCTTATAGCCTTCTCCAGCTTTGTGAGCGTCAACTATTTTCAGTTTCAGTTTTCTAGACAACTGCTTAGAAGAACCCATGGTGCTGATTGTTGGGGCAAGGTCAGATGAGTCTGGGCATTTAAAACCTTTGAGCTTGACATCACCTGGTCTTCCCAGACGATGATTGAGAACAATCCATGACACTGGCAGGTCTCAGCTTTGCCAAGGGGGCAGTGCATGCTATAAATTCTGCAGGGTGCCCAAAGTTTTTCAGACACCATTTTTTTGTTTTCTGTTATTTTGAAAGTGTAAATGATGGAAATAAAATCTAACTTTTGTTGACATATTATAAGAATGTCTAATCTGTAATTTGTTGCCTTTTGGAGATTTTTCCATCTTTCCTTGGCTTCTTTATGCACATTAATACACATTTTTAGCTGGGGTGCCCAAACTTTCGATCCCCACTGTATCTCTCTCATTAGAAGCCATCATCATCCCATCATATTTCATAACTTCTGAAATTATGAACGTATAGCCAGAATACAGTCATAGTCACCTTCATCAGTTATTGGATACCATTTTGAACCCAAACACCCCTATGCTAGAAAGTGCCAGAGTGGAGTAGACCTCCACAACCCTCCTATGAGAAATAGATATCCGAGACCTGTCATATCTATATCCATTTTGAAACTGATTTCATGCTGGACAATAATATGCAGGGTAGCCGACTGTACCCTGCAGATATTCAGAGATATGAATACTTATAGAAAACTGTATCTGGGTCTTGATCAAAAAAGTGGTGACATCCCACTACCACCCCTCAGACACTTAATTGGTCAGATGGCATCTGTCAACACTCCTTTGATACCACAGAAAAGGGGAATGGCAGGACACTTTGACAGCTCTCATTTTTAACATCAAACCAAGGAACACCTAACAGGACTGTACTGTTTTTGCTCCTGCACTGGACTTTGCTGAAACCAGGATTTGCAAGTATTCTTCATTTTCAACTTCTTTTTATTTCTGTGTTGCTTTATTGTCTCTTTGTTTCCTTGTAACACCCTTTTTATATTCTATTTGCACCATTTTGACCTTTTCACTATTAAACCTTATTTTGAAAAGTGTTGACATTGTCTCTAAGGCTTTTACTGCAAATTAAAAGAATCCCTGTCTCTTGCAGAGTGCTACTGTAGTAAAAATCTCTGAACATACCTGTCTGCGGTGACAGTGCGTGTTATAGACGTTTATTCTAAAATTATAGTTGTTATTGCTAAGATTGTGAGTTTCCTCTTTCTCGGTACAAGGTGGTGGTGGCAGTTTAAAGGGTTAATTGCTTAATTAACTAAACCCACTAACAATCGCTCTCAGTCTGTTGGCACCTAGATTATGGTCCCACAAGCTGAAAAATCTTTGTTCAGCGTGGGGCTTAGAGTGCCAGCGCAGTGTGAGAAGTCAGTGAAGAGGGTCGGACACCTGCATTCATCACAAATGGTAATGAAAATTTCCTGATTTTTTGTTCATTGTTTTTCTTTCCAAAGAAAACTGACACAAAATAATAAAAATAAAAATAAATAAATTAACTATAGCTATATATTTCTGTCCATTACCATAACTCACCACAAATTAACAACCCAAAATAAATTATACTACTGATGATCACAGCGATACCACATATGGATACGTTTTTTGCTCTTTGTAAGCATAGTGGGGCCCAGAAACAATAGTACACATTTTGCACTTTGTATCCTACGTAAAATACAATTTCCCTGATACTAAATTAAAAACTTTTTTTTACCTACCTAGAACACATTACCTTTGATCCTGACCTTGATCCTAACCCTGACACTGACCTAGGTCAAACCCTGATCCAGTTATTTTATCTTTTTTTTATTTTCCAGACTTTTTATTTACATTCTTCTCAAAATATCTTTTTTTTCCATTCAGGAGAAGAAAGATTATAGGGGCAGGTTGTACAGTTAGGGACTGAAAAAACAGTTGAGCTGTGTTTTTACCACCTACCAACCGCTCCTCCTTAAACTGCAAAGGTTGCGGACTGGGGTGTACATATGCCATGGCAAGAATTAAACCCTCTGTCACATTCATCAGGCAGTAACACCAGCCAAACACAACACAGTCTAATTAATTGGACCATAATGCACTGTTTATTTGGGCTACTATATGGGGAAAATTAGGTTTAATATTGATAAATGTAAGGTTCTGCACTTGGGGGCTAAGAATATGCATGCATCATACATACTAGGGGGGGGGGGGGTACAACGGGGGGAATCAATGGTGGAGAAGGATCTGGGGGTTCTGGTAGATCACAAGCTTAATGCCAAGCTGCGGTTTATAAAGCGAGCAAAATCCTCTCTTGTATTAAGAGGTATAGACTCCAGAGAGATATCATATTACCCCAGTATAAATCATTAGTAAGACCTCATCTGGAATATGCAGTTCAGTTTTGAGCACCAATTCACAAAAAGAACATTGGGGAACTGGAGAAAGTACAGAGAGGGGCAACCAAACTGATAAGAGGCATGGAGGAGCTCAGCTATGAGGAAAGATTAGAGGAACTGAATTTATTCTCTCTTGAGAAGAGGAGATTAAGGGGGGATATGATCACCATGTATAAATACATCAGTGGTTCATATAGTGAACTCGGTGTAGAGTTATTCACCCTGAGGTCATCACAGAGGACAAGGGGACACTCTTCTCAGGAAAAGAAATTTAATCTCCAAACACGGAAAGGTTTCTTCACAGTGAGAGCTGTGAAAATGTGGAATAGACTCACTCAAGAGTTGGTTCTGGCCAGCTCAGTGGATTGCTTTAAAAAAGTCCTGGATTCTTTCTTGGATACACAGAATATAACTGGATACTAACATTTATAAGTAAAGTTGATCCAGGGAATATCCGATTGCTTATCAGGGAATCAGGAAGGAATTTTTTCCCTGCAGGAGCAAATTGGTTCATGCTTTGCTGGGGTTTTTTTTGTCTTCCTCTGCATCAACTGTGGGTGTAGGATTATACCTTTTGTTTTTTTTAATGGTTGAACTGGATGGACTTTTGTCTTTTTTCAGCCAGACTAACTATGTAACTATGTAACACTGCATTTTCCCCGCAATCGCATGCAATGCACAGTATTGTAGGCTTTTAAGGGTTAAAACAGGTGATGATGAGGTGACATGACACCCTCTTAAATGCCCCGTAAAAAGCAATTTACCACAAATTGCAGGTCAGAGCGCTAACACTAGTGTAAACTAACTTTTACTAATCACTGTGATAGTCCAACACCAGATTGTTGCAATCATTGCGAAACTCCTGAGCTGTCAGTGATCTCGGTCTCCATGCTGGGAATGTGCTATGCAGTGCGGCACAAACACAGGTACACACATATGAGGTCCCACTGAAGAAGACCCACCTCAGTGAGGCTCAGCAACAAAGAGTTAAAGTGGAACTAAAGTCCAACTTTTGAAAACTGCGAGCAGACAGGCTCCATTTTTTTGCAGAAGGGACATGCAATATCCCTTCTGCAATAAAAGAAACCTTTCAGACTTGCTTGTAGTCTTCTGCTGAATGTACAGTGAGCTGTGCAAGTGCAGTTTAATCTACATTCCAGCATAGTGCCTGTGTGCTGGGATGACTGCACTCCTCTGCATATGCAGGAGTGACATCCCCCAGTACTGGCCAATGAGAATAGCCGAAGCCCTGTACCCAGACGAATCTGGGATAAGATGCCGGTGCTGGTGAGGGATGTCGGACCATTGAGGGGAGGTAAGTATTGTGATATTTAGCTCTGCTTTAAGGTCTTTTTTTTATAGGGAGGCATAGTGCTACAAGTGTGTAGGGGACCTGGCATAAAACAGCTGTTGGCACCAAACTTATCTAGGTCTTGTTTGCTTCTTCTAGGATAGGGCACTCACATACTTGTAGTTTGAGAAAACCACTCCTCTATCTTGTACACGTCTCCTGGCCATAGGCCCCACTTTGAAATAAAAGCATGTCCACTCTGATGCTTTTTCAGCACTTTACTGTAATTAATACTTCTTCCAATATTATGTTGAAAAATTGGGGTGCCCATCGTGTGGTAGGAGGTCAAGACCCAGCTTATATCAAAGTGCCACGTCTCTAAAGTTATAATTTGGAAAGGAGGATATTGAATGGACTTTTTCTTCCAATATTACATTCACTTGACAGAAGCTTTTGTGCAGAACGCCACTGACAAAATATACATCCTGCAGCAGTCTTTGTCAGTGCAGAGCACAAGTACGTATGTGCTGCCCATTTCCCTTACTCTTCTCGGAAGAAAAACCAAGTTGGAACAGCTCCCCATTAGGATGCTCAGTCCTAGGCAACTAGGCTTTCGTGCAACAAGCCACAGACTTACAGCTGAGGATCAGAGGTGGCAAGGTCCCTCCATTGGCATCCTGCATGTCCTCACGTTGTTCCATTCTCTGTCCTGCCCAGCTGGGCACTCAGTTACCCTCTCTCGGGGCCCCATCCACAGCTGGTATCATATGAGCACTAGCTCCCCCCATGACATCACTACAGGAGGAGTAAAACCTAACGTAGCACTAACACCTGCCAACAAGTGTAAAAGATCAGAATCAAGACCTGGTATGATAAAGTTGATATTTATGCATGGTATCAGCGATTTTGGCCTATTATTATTAACTCTGGATATGGTTTTTTTTGCTGTATGTAGGGTGTCAGACCTAATAATTTTGTCAAGCACATCTAAAGCAAAGAAAAAATGTTTTCTTCTGGTTAGAACCACTGAAAACCATTGTCAGGTTTTTACTACCGTATTTGCCGGCGTATAAGACGACTTTTTGACCCTTGAAAATCTTCTCAAAAGTCGGGGGTCGTCTTATACGCCGGTACACATGTTAGGGGGGGCTGCGGCATTAAGTACAGGGGTTTGCAGGGGCTGATGTCTCTTACCTGGATCCAGTCCCACGACGATCCGGTCCAGGAAGCGCGGCGTCTCCTTCAGTTCGGCCACTGGATGTTCGTGCGGCTGCTCGGCTCCGCCTCCTCACCGGTGATTGGCCGCCAGAACTGTAGCTCAGGAAAGGCACACAGGCGGCCAATCACCGGCGAGGGGGCGGAGCCGAGCGACCCCCGCGAAAATTGAGTGCCGGAGCAGCAGGTAAGTGTTCTGTGTAGAGGTGCTGCTGCAACCACATATGCTGGCTGCAGCAGCACCATACGAGAACAGGGTCAGCAAGTTTCAGTGGGAGGAATAGTTCCCCATCATTGGTGTCACTGATACCAATGATGGGGCACTATTCCTCCCACTGACACCAACGATGGGGCACTATTCCTCCCCCCCCCCACTGACACCAATGATGGGGCACTATTCCCCCCCCCACTGACACCAACGATGGGGCACTATTCCACCCCCCACTGACACCAATGATGGGGCACTATTCCACCCCTCACTGACACCAATGATGGGACACCATTCCTCCCACTGACATCAATGATGGGGCACTATTCCTGCCACTGATACCAATGATGGAGCACCATTCCTGCCACTGATACCAATGATGGGGCACCTATTCCCCCCACTGATACCAATGATGGGGCACTATTCCTCCCACTGACACCAATGATGGGACACTATTCCTGCCACTGATACCAATGATGGGGCACCTATTCCCCCCACTGACACCAATGATGGGGCACTATTCCCCCCACTGATACCAATGATGGGGCACTATTCCTGCCACTGATACCAATGATGGGGCACCTATCCCCCCCACTGATACCAATGATGGGGCACTATTCCTGCCACTGATACCAATGATGGGGCACTATTCCTCCCACTGACACCAATGATGGGGCACTATTCCTCCCACTGACACCAATGATGGAGCACTATTCCTCCACTGATACTAATGATAGGGCACTATTCCTGCCACTAATGCCAATGATGGGGCACTATTCCTCCCACTGGTGTGCATTGGAAGAGGGGTAGTCTTATACGGCGAGTATAGCCCAAACACTACATTTTAGCAGGAAAAGTAGGGGGGTCGTCTTATACGCCCAGTCGTCTTATACGCCGGCAAATACGGTACTTTTTGTTCCCCAAAGGGAAGGTTCATCCTCATAAGTTGTCCTGCTGACCATTGTCACGAAAACAGAAAGTGACTTGAATTGTAATCCAAAGTTTTTTGGAACAAGAAGAAGGAATAAGGGGAAATCTGCCAGTATACCTGTTCCAGTGACAGCTGTCCAAGAACTTATTTCCCCAAACTTTATGGTGATTTCCTCACATTTCCCATTGTATTGTCAGGACATGAAGTGAAGGGAATTCTCCCCAAAAATACGGACAGAAAAAAAAAATTACAAGGGTTCTAATCATTGTCTACTCTTAGCAAAACTGAAAAAAAATTGTGTTTTACATATACGCTCATTGGCGTGGTTTACAACAGCATAATGTTTTTACTAAAGGTATGTTTTTGTATGTATTTTGCCATCATCCAACATTTCTGTCGCATACAGTATATAATCTGAAGTGTACCTGTCTTGAATATAAGAAACTTACACTGAGATTTAAAGCTGTTCTGGGAAATATTCTGAAAATCATTTGTGGTCACAGTGACTAAGAAGCTACAGTGTATAAAATTTACAGACATCAAATTTTACTTCCTCGTGTGCATAATAATAGCACGTGCCTGTACATTTCAGGTGGCTGCCTGGCTTAGACTGTATCAGTAGCTATTGGGCAGGAAGTAGACGACTGATTAATTTTTTAGGTAAACCTTTAATGTGAGCATTCAGTAAAATCCACGACTGTGGTGATATAGTGGGCACCATGAGGTACCCTTTCTGTAAAAGCCAAAGCCCATGCATATGCAAATTTCAGCTTTCTGAAGGTGGATATTTGCATAGGTATGTAAGGTCTCTCTATTGGAAAGCACATAGCCTGCTTTAGACAGGCAGGCTTGTTGGGAAGGGTCCTTAGAGTCCAAGTTTTTAAGCCAGTTCCCAAAGCTCCAGGCACCTCTTACTCAGCTGCAGAGACAGTGTGCTGAAGCCTCATCAAGTCCCACTGGTTTCCAGTACAGGTGCTTGACTGGACTTTTCACAGGCACCGGTTAAGAGTGCTGACTGTGCCTACCCTTTCCAAGCTTCTATGAATGAAAAGTGGTCTATGAATGGGTACAGCTGCCACTCTTGGCGAGTGCCTGTGACAAGTCCAGCCATGCATATTAATCCCTATAGCTCGGAAAGATTATGGTGGGGGGAGTATGAGCGGAGGAGAGGGCTAGAGATGTACACACAAAAGAATTGGTTTAATTTCTTTTTTGATTCATTTGTTAAGTCAGTTATTTTGCTTTGTCATATTCATTATGTTACAATGATTCATTTTCAGAATTCGTTTCATATACTCGGATTCCTTTCATGTATTCGTTGTTCCAAATTGATTTGTATTTTCGGAAGTTATTTCGGAATATACGGATTAATTTGTTATGTCTTTATGTTATTTCTGTGACTTGATTGCAACTTCGATGCCACTTGCTTATGACTTTGATGCCACTTGCTTACGACTTTGATGCCACTTGCTTGCAACTTTTGCTTTGGCAAATCATAACAATACAGAGTGTGACACATATTATTGAATGTACAAAACCCTCTGAAGTAGCAAACAATGAAAACTAATGAATTTGCTGTTTCCGTTATAATTTATTTCAGAGTTATTGAAATTCATTACTATTGTGATTCGGAGGTTCAGATGCATCCAAATCTCCAAATAACGAAAATATTATCCAAATTTAAGTTCATAACAAAACTAATCGCACATGCCTAGAGAGGACAACTAAGACAACATTCATCAGAAAAAGGGACATTTCTCTTTAAATGTAAAGATAGTCTCTTGTGCTGATTAAAAAAAAAACCTAACTAAATGTAGCACCCTCCCAGCTTAGCTAGGGTGAGCTAGACCATGGGCGGACTGACAACTCATGGGGCCCCTGGGCAATAGGGGATCATGGGGCCCCTGTGTCCTTGCCCACACCCAAAAAAGCCTATAAAAAAGACAATGAAAGGTACCAGGGGCATCTCATGGGGCCCCCTACTGACCCCGGGCCCTCGGGCAGTGCCCGAGTGCTCAAATGGTCAGTCCGCCCCTGAGCTAGACCCTGCTGGTTAGTGCGAAGCTGATTAGCAGCTTAGGTGAGATAGTCAGTGGAGTCAAATTCTAGTCAGAATTGAGAGACTCTGCAGGCCAGGCCCTCTAGAATTTCACCGTTCTGAGGCTTTTGGAGGAGGGCCTTGGAGGCAGTGGGTGGATTTGAGGAGTGGCTGGCTAAACTCCTGAGGGACCTCAGGCAATACCCAACAGGAGGTTTAGCAAAAGGCTGGGACTCCCTTAAAAATGAAAGAGCCTGCTCAGTAGGAGGAGTGTGGGTGGTGGTAAGGAGTGAGAAGCTGGAAGATGTGAGGCTGGAGGAGGAAGACTGCCAGGAGGCCTAGTGGGATGGGGTCTGCCTGCGAACCTGGAGCTAGAAAGAAGGAAAGCTCTGGACTCACTGGCTCCCTGAGTGAGGACCACCTGTATGGCAGTGAAGGAGCAGCCCAGCTGATAGGCCTGGTAGCAGCAGCCATCCTGCAAGCAATACAGGAGAGGATCTGAGTGAGTACACCTGCACCTCCTCAGCGGATAGGTAAAGGAGCACTTTGGTGGGAAACAGATTAGCCCATTGCTAGTGACTGTTTGCCTTAATTAGAGGAACAGGAGCCAGATCTCATGCTCAGGAAGAAAGTCTCCAGATTGCTGGGTGAAGAATAGTTCATTTAGGGTCTGGGGTAGTACAACTGGAGCTGCTGGCTAGCACTTCAACAAAGACTGTGTCAGAGAGGAGAAGCTGCGAATAGTTCAGGACGTTCTCTCAGATTTCGGTTACCTTGGGCATCCTCTATATCCCTTACCCCATCCAAGTTCTAATCTCCTTAATAAAATAACAAAACAAATGCTGAAGGCCTGATTTCTGTCTACAGATGAAAGCTTGTGTGGAGAATGCTAAATGACTGGCTGTGCAAGACTATAGGGGGACCCAAATTCAACAGCAATCCCTAAGAGGGTAGTGCTACATAAATCTAGGCTTTAAGGGTTGTGTTAAAGGAAAAATGTTGGCGGGGTAAAATTTAAGGGCTAATTTTAGGGGTTTGTCATGACAATATTAAAAAAGGCCTTTCATGCACAGATAAAAACAATTGATCTGCCAGACCTTCGCTGCCAGTTTCCTATTGTGGGATAAACATGCACAGGGGTTGATTTACTAAAGCTGGAGAGTGAAAAATCTGGTGCAGCTGTGCATGGTAGCCAATCATGTATTCTGCTACATGTCTATATCTGCTATAGGGCGGCGGGGATGTGTTTAATAAACTGCCATCTTGTGGATATTGTGGTTATGGCACCTTCTTTTTCTGTCTTCCATCTTCTCCCCTCCCACTAGCTAGTGATGAATTTCCACTTCCTTCTTCACTGTCTTCTGGGGATGAATATGGCCACTTGTCTCTAGGCCACATATACTCTGCTTCCGGGGACACATTACCATGCTTTGATCTGCAAATACCATATTTTCAATCATCTACTTCAACTGTTGTCTGCTGTTAACCTGCTGCATGCAATTAAGATTTCTGGGATGAGAAAACAGGTGTTTGCTGAGTTCAGCTATATGGTAAAGATTGTAGTGATTGTATCTGCTTACACAGCCCAGGATGGTCAAAACATGGTAGAATGCCTACAGCCTGCTTTGTAAATGTGGGTGTCTACTCTGCACCCAAGCTCAGTGCCATCCTCCATTCTGTGAAAGCACATGGTCGCCCAGGCTTACTTCACCTGTCAATGTTGAAAACTGTTTCTCTGCATTGGAATGTGTTATCCCACCTATCTAAGCTGCTGTTTGTCTGAGACAGTAACCATTTTTTACAAAAAACTTAACAAAACGTCTAGAATCCACTAGAGATGAGTTCTTCAGCAATCTGTCAGGTCTATGGGACAGAATGTCAGTTTTGCCGCACTTTAATGATCATTCGGCTGAATTAAGAGACTCTATAGATTGCCTATCTGCAGCGGACAAATGCCACTAGTGGCGGTCTGCAAAATACACAGCTTTCTTAAAGGACTCTAGTATAGAGGGCTCTTTAGCAGAAATAAGACAGATGCACTTAAACAGCAAAGAGATATCTTCTTAGTGCAAGATGCTAAGGAAAAGGCAGAAACTCCACATTGCTCAACTGCAGAACATAAGATCTCATAAATCCACATTTACTAAGCCCTCTCTTCTAGATCCTCTCACTCCAAATGCTGAACATTAAAGCGGAGCTTCACCCAAAAGGGGAAGTTCCGCTTTAAGTCTTTGTCCCCCACTCCCCATTAAGGATTGGCACCTTTGGGGAGCGCGTAACCGAATTTGACAGGTACC